AAATTCAGAAATGCTTGGACGTGGGGGTGATGCGCAAGTGGCCCTCAGCGTGGGGACCACCGACGGTCGTCAACGGCCTACGGGTGGTGGAAGGCAAGAAGCTGCGCCTATGCATGAATCCCATGTACCCTAACCTTTTCATGGAGATACCGCCGCTGAAATACGAACACATCTCGGACTTGCCAGGCTTTCTGCGAAAAGACGATTTCCTCTTCACAACGGACGACAAGAGCGGTTACTGGAACCTCCTGCTGCACCCGGACATGTACCGCTTCGCCGCCTTCGAATGGGAAGGCGACCTACACTACTGGCTCGTAATGGCGTTCGGCTTCGCCCCGGCCTGCTGGGTCTACAGCCTGCTGAAGCAGGAGCTATTTCGACCGATGCGGGAGCGAGGCGTAGACCTGGCGTACTTAATCGACGACTGCGCGTTGGCAGCGAGGACACTCCCAGCTGCACAGCGCCTATGCCGAGCAGTCGTCGACCTCCTCACGGCGCTGGGTTTCACCCTGAGCCTTGAGAAATGCCAGCTGCGACCGTCCCACCGCGTCAAGTTCTTAGGCTTCATGGTCGACGCACAGCGCGAGGTTTTCGAAGTACCCGAGGAAAAAGTCCGCCAGCTGGCCGAATCGGTAGAGCTCTTGGAGACCGCGGGACCGGATTCAATCACAGCCAGGGAGGTGGCACGGGTGGCCGGCCGGATCATGGCCATGAGCCCGGCGGTGGCTACAGCGCCGCTCCACGCGCGTGTGGTTGGGCGGGCGGCAGCAGGAGCAGCACACTGGGATGAAGCGGTGGGGGACCCAGCCACTTTCCTGTCTAGGGCACGGCTCTTCCTAACCCTGCTGCGCCTCAAGAACGGTAAGACGTGGTGGCGACGCGGGCCAGCCCTGGTGCTCAGGGTGGCAGGGGACGCCTCTGAGAAAGCCTACGCCGCATACCTACCAGACCGTCAACTGGGAGACGGAGAAGCGAGTGAGATGCGAGTGCCGTTCACCCCGGAAGAGTCAGAGCGCATGGCCTGGGGGGAAATGTCCAGCACGGAACGAGAACTTCGCACAGTGGCGCTAGCGCTCGACTGGATTAAGTGTGAGGGTCCGCACTTACTAGCAGGAAGGTCGGTGCAGTATCACACCGACAGCCAGGCCGCAACCCTGTGTGTGCTAGGCATGAAAGGGCAGGGCCCGTGCCTGCAGCGAGTAGACGAGCTGTACATGAAGTGCGCGGAGTGGGACTTGGAGGTCCAGCTAGTCTGGCACCCCCGCTCGGAACAGCAACAGCAGTATGCAGACACGCTCTCCAAGTTCGAAGACAGCTCGCAGTGGTGTTTGGACGACGCGGTGTTCGCAAGTTTGTGGGCGGAACCATGCCTGCAGGGAAGCAGGCCTACGGTAGATGTGTTTGCGGACGAGTTTTCTACGAAAGTACCAGGACGCTTCTT